ATAAAAAATAAGTATAACATTATATCTGTGCCATTAACAAGTATTGTTACTCGCGATACACATCATTGAGGCAGTCACTACCTGACATGGATAGACATTCAATCTAATAAAAACTCTAACTGTATAAAAGTAAATAATGTAGCTCTACTTTCACCTCCTCAAAGGAATACGTCCAGTTACCAGTTACTCTGTATATTATTAGCTCCACAGGCCTAATAGGCCTCTGGCATGGGCGTCGTTACACAATTCTATAGGGAGAGGCAAATTTTTTAAAAAATTTAGAATGTTTATTTGTTGAAAAACAAAGAAAATGAAAAATAAAAGAGCATTACAAATTAACAAAAGTTTCTAATAAATAAAATAACACAACAAAAAAGACAAAACTAAAATAAAAAAAACGGAAGGTGTGAAATAAAAGAAAAATATGAAGACAGAGCCATACATAATATTAAAAAAAATTAAATATTTATAAAAAACACAAAAACAAAAACAACTTACTCAAACACGTCGACAATACAATTTTTAATGAAATTCCTAATTAAAAAATATATATGTTGATTTTAATAAAAGTATATGGATTTGAAAAACAAGTGAAAAATTAATTATTATTATTATATATTTTTATTGCTTCAGCTAAAAAAATGTATGATATGTTGCCTATGTCTAATAAGTTGTCATTGAAGAATGGGTTAAATAATGAGAAAATAAAAACATAATAACGTAGTATCAAAACGTATTAACAAAAATAATTGGTATATTTGCGATTGTAATTTATATTTTTTTCATTTTTAGTTCGAAAGAACCCATAGAAATTAATGATTTAAATTGGTTTCCTATCAATAAGTCACAAGATTGCATTTCAGCCACATACAATAATCAAAGGCAGGAATCTAATTCTTGCTGAACATTGAAGAGTTAAGGGATGTTGAACAACATTGTAAAATATTTATTTATTGTTTATTTAAACCTTTAAATTTTCTGATGTCTACTATTTCCAGTATTACCTACTATTATTATTACAAAAATAAAGGTTTTTTCTTCTTATTGTACAGCTATCCATTTATTTCTTTGAATTAATTTTCATTTTTCTACTGAAAATTTATATAATTTAAACTGTTTTTTCTGCTAGTGTTTTTACAGTTTACAACACAGCAACTCATATTGCTTTTTGTGTTGTTTTTATCTGTTAGAGAAAATAATGTGGAAATAGTTTGGTGAAAGGTTATTATTAACGAATAACTATTCGAACAAACAATACTAAAATTAAAATAGCAACTCATGTTAGGTGCGCACATTCGTTGGTTAATTTACCGGAAGTACAAACGACTGTACAGGTACAAAAGTAACTAATTTAGACAGGGTTGCCAACTATAATAGATACAGGTATTCTAACATTACCTACTTTAAAAAAAAAAGTAAAATGTATAGGTACGTATTCGCTCCGTGCGAAGACATGGAAAGGGAAGCAAAAGCGATACTAGCGCTAGCTGCGGATAATTCGTGCATTTTAGGGCGATATTTTGTAATTTTGGCATATAAAATACACGTATACATTTTACTTTTTTTCAAAAAAAGTAGGTAAAAACAATACAATAAGCAACCGGAGTTGCTGTGTTGAAAATTGTACAAATACTAGCAAAAAAACAGTGAAACTTATACAAAAAATTTCAGTAGCAAAGTGGAAATTAAATCAAAGAAATAAATGGATAGATATACAAAAAGAAGAAAAATTACCTTTATTTTTGTAATAATAACCGTAATGCTGCAAATAGTAGACATCAGAAACTTGAAAGGTTTTAAATAAACAATAAATTATCATTTTACCATGTTCTTTAATATCCCTTATTCTTAAATGTTCGTTCAGCAAGGACTAGATTTCAAGATTTCTGCCTTTGATTATTATATGTGGTTGGAACGCAATTTTGTAACTTACTGATGGGAAACCAGTTTTAATAATTCATTCTATGTTTTCTTTCAAACAAAAATGAAAATATAAGTAATGATCCTTTTTTTATACATTTTAACTTCACGCTATTATTAAATGGTATTTTCTTATTTTGACAGAATAGACTAATTCTTCAATGAAAACTTATTTGACTTAGGCAACTTCTCATACATTTTCCAGTAAATACTGTTGCCTGCCTATATTTTATTACTGATTTTTATCGATTATAAATAATTTTCTTTAATTTAAGCGATAAAAATATATAATAATAATAAATTAATGTTTTACTTGTTTTACAAATCCATATACTTTTATTAAAACTACCATATATACTTTTTAATTACGAATTCTAATAAAAGTTGCATTTGTCAGTGTACGCAGAAATAGTCCATTAGTATCAAAACGAATTGGCGCTGCTGTCGCGCACGGAGCGAATAAGATATGGATATGGAATAAATATATTCAACCTATAATATTCGTCTACTGTATTAGCCTGAATATTATATTTATGAGATTGTTGTTCGTGATTCGTGGCATTTAGATTTCTACGCCTGTCATGTTTACCTATTTCTTCTATTTCCTTAAACAATTCAATCAATTTAAAGGCTACCTAACATATTATGCCTTGTGTTTATTGTTATGCGTGCACGGCGACAATATGAGCTAGTGCCAGTTGTGTAATTGTGTTAGTTAAGTAATTTTACTGTATACAGCGTTGTCAAACTGTGGCACATAGTACCTACCTAACGAAATATCAGTAATTTATATATTAAGGTTGTATGTTACGATACTAAATTAAGTACTAAATTTAGAACTAAATTAATGCATTTTTAAGTAATAAAAAAATTCACGGTGCAAACAGCAAATTTAGTATTAAATTTAGTACTAAAAAATTAATTAATTAATTGGAACTTGTTCTATTTTCTACTAAATTTAGTATTAAAATTGCGTTGAAATATTGCGCAGAAGTTTTTCTCAGAAAAAGTTTACACAGCGGTCTTTTCTGCACTATTTTGTTTTTGGTTAGCGACAACTTTGCATTATCGCCTTGGACAAATTTCGCTTGTGTTTGATTTTGTAGGTTTTATTGTGTTTTTTCGTGATTTTTAGTAGCATAGCTGTATTTGGTTGTGGTTAAGTCAACAAGTGTCAAGATCATAATAAAAAACATCTTTTAATTCACTTGTCTCATTTACACAGAATGTTTCATTTCTGTGCTAATTTCACGTAATATTACGTCAATGCGCGTGCGCCTATACTTAATTTAGTACTAAAAATTGGTATCGTTTCAAAAGGAAAAAAATATTTTTAGTTCTAAATTTAGTACTTAATTGAATAACTTAATTTAGGGCAAAATTTTAGTACTTAATTTAGTATTGAGACATACAGCCATTACGCGTTGTAAAGTCGTAAAAGCCAGGGGGGCAACTGCCCCCCTTGTCCTCCCTCCAAACGACGCCCATGGCCTCTGGCTTGATAGGTTATTTTTCTTGTTCTTTGGTTCTTTGGTTTTCTTTCTTCAGATTTTCAGACTTTCCATTTTTTAGAAACTCATCCACTCATCTTATTTTTGATGTTCCTTTTGGAATATTACCCAAAAGTTGCCATATGTTATCCCCACCAAAATTTGTATTTACAGTTTTTTGATTGTCATGCATCTTCTGCCCCCTACCGCAACTCCAATTTTTTTAAAACAATTGAAAATCGGAATTTGGATTTTCGATTGGGAATAGTGCCCAAAAGTTGCCTTATGTTATCCCCACCAAAATGTTTATTTACATTCTTTTGATTTTCATGCCTCTTCTGCCCCCTACCAATAATTCAAACGTTAGGGACAACAGTTAAAATTTTTCAGTCAAATCACATTAAAAATTATTTTATTATTTTAAATTTTTCACATTTTACATTGACTAAAACAGTTAATAAAAAACAAACAAATAAATAAGCTTATTTTGTAAAGTCCTTTTTGCTTTCATATTGTGGCATTAATTTACGAGAATCTTATCTTGATTATATAAATCCATCTCGCTTTTTACTACCTACAAATGATGCTTCCGTCACTAATTTTACACATCTCTCCATAGCTTTATTTGGGGTTTTTTTATTATATTTTCTAGTTTTAAATGTTGAAATAGTGGAGGAGGAGTAATATCATTATTTTGCCAGCCTATTAAAGTGGTATTTTAATAATACGAATTTTTTCTAAACTTTCTTTTTTCTTGGTATTTAAAATACGACACATAGCAAGTTCTCTAACATGGGAAGGAGAGTCACTTAACATACATAATAGTAGGTTTTCCGGGTGTACAAAAATGCATTTGGTTGGATAACTGGGTCAATGATTGCTTTCAGATCGTCTCTTAAATATTGACTTTGCTTAATGGTTTGCCATACATGTTTTGCCCCATTTATAAAAGAGTTATTTCATTTAATTAAAAACCACATTGGAGCATAGACTTTAAGAAAGAAATTTGTCAGTTCTTTCAAATTGGAACTGGGCTCTTAGGTGGAAATATACAAACGGGATTCTGCGGGAATGGCTCAATTTTCCTGGATTATGGTTTGCTAAATCTACATAACATTAACCAGAAGATATGGCACGGAAAATTTTGTAAAGGTATTTCTGATCGGTACTTAAGTCGCTACACTGTACTTTGGGTAATTTACAGACAGTGACTTCATATTGCACAACTGTCAAATTTTCCCATCGGACTACAAGCTGGCCCAATACACCTACAAACGCACTAGGACCGGTTGTTTGACCATCAAGGTGTAGAAAAAAATGTCTCAAAGGTAGCTCGTTGGCAAGCAGCTGACAGATAAATCGTTGTAAAGGATGTCCTAACTTCATTCAATTAGAGTAATCACTCTATTCTTTAGTCCAGTGTTGACTACTGTGCCGTCAGACCCCACTGCTAATAAGCTTGACAAATCATGGTTATTTTATTGTGAAATGTCAACTATACTTTGACAAAGATTTTTTGCAGATCCTGAGGAGGGTATTGTATGTCCTAGAAACACCGAACCTGGTTCTTGCACTAAAGATATGTGTTCTTCAGTTACTGTTCTTTTGCGAGATTTTCCGTCTAGATAATGTTTTATTTTTTCTACCGTCATAATACATTGCAGTAATAGGTTCACAGTCTATCAATTTAATAATTTTAGTTCTTAAATGTTCTCTGGCCTTTCTTAACTTATTTTTATCTATTATTTGTACTGAACTTTCTTTTTTTACGATACCAATATCCTGTAAGAAAGCTGTAGCTACTGTTGCTGCAGATCTATCCGATAATCCGTATCTGTCACACACTTTGGCGAGAGTATGAAGTTTAGTTGTATTTCTGGGAATTGCTAATTCTTTTAAAGTAGACGGTTGTTTACAAGTTGTATCTAAGTAATGACTAGAGGAAACTGGTATATTAGTTGCTCGTTTCGAAAAAATATCTAGCGTCACTTTTGTATCATTTTCAGAGCAAACCTTTTTGTGTAATTCTTTCCTTTGTTGCATTTTTGGTTGTTTCTTTTGCATCAACACCTGCCATAACCATTTTTCTGGAACTTTGCTGATCTAGGAGAAAGGGACGCTTATTTATAGGTACCTGTAAAAGAAATCACTTATTAAATAAGAAATTATATCACTAAAAAAATTACCATAAATATATTTATTTATTTATTTATTTACCTTCTTCTTTGCTACAGGGACAATCTTCAAGATTTTTGCATTTGCAGGCACTAATGTCGAACAGTTTTTTATTTTCAGCTTTATATCTTTTTACTTTTAAAATAAAGTTTTCATTCCTTTTAACCTTTGGGTACCACAAAAGCTTTGAGTATCTATCATATTGAATTTTAACGAGTTGCAAAACGCGTTTGTGTGTTACTATCGGGATTGACGCTTTCTGCCATAAATTTACAATCTTATCACCGTATGTTTGAAATTTCTGAAACTGTTGGCTGTTTTCGGCAGTCAGGTTGTTTTAGGCTATACCTTACCCATAACAAGCACCTCAAAACATCTTTTTGTGTCGGAAGAATAATTCTGCTAGTGATCTCACTAAAGGACACTCGGTGTCTTGTCTTGTGTGAAAGGTTTTTAAGAAACTCATATTTCGATTATTCTGAATTACTTTTTCATATGCAACACTGACAAATTACGGTCACAATAACACAACACGTTGCTGGTACGTTTATCCCACAACTACGAAAACAATCGTCTACGCCTCATCGCCCCACCAACGGTGTCGGTACGACAGCCGCATTCAGACCACCTACTTAATAATATCTACTTATTTTAATAAGCTATAGGTTCTGGTAGGGGGCAGAAGACGTATGATAATAAAAAAACGATAAATAAACATGTTAGTTGCAATAACAAGAGGCAACTTTTAGTCACTGTTCCAAATCGAAAATCTAAATTTTGATTTACAAATTTTTTTGAAAATTTTTAGTTGCAGTAGGGGGCAGAAGATGCATAGCAATCAAAAAACTGTTAATAAACATTTTGGTTAAGATAACATAAGGCAACTTTTGGGAACTATTCCAAAACGAAATTTCAAATTCTTTTAAAAAGTCCGTTTTACAGCCCACCCTAATCTAGATACCTTTGACTGTCACTTGCGTACTTTGACGTTTCACATAAATTTTGATTAAACGTCAGTCTATTAGTGAACATGAATAGTCATTCAGACAGTGACAAAGAATTTACGAATACTCCACCAAACTTGCAAGAGGAAACAACAATTTTTCTCTAAATTTGCTACCTATTAAGTCAGGAGAAAGGTACGAAAAGTACCGCGAAATATTTAAGTGTTTAAGATTGTAAATGCAGGTACAAATGTCGTAATTGAAGTCTCCCCATTCTTAAGACGTATTCTCTTAGAGAGAAAATATATATTTCTAGGCTGGAAAAAATCTGAAGTATCTGATTACTTGAGAGTAATAAAATGCTACAAATGCTGTAATTATGGTCATCTTCAAACGAATTGCACAGAAAAGGATTTATGCTGCCCCAAGTATTCAAACAAACATAGTCTTAAGGAATGTATTTCCGGTGATATAAACTGTATTAACTGTACTAAATTTAATAAGAATGCTAGGAACAAAGTGCCTACTAATCATACATCAAATGATTCAAATTGCCCAATTTTGCAAAATTATGTTTCTAATTTAAAATCAAGAATTAATGATGGATAATAGAGTTTTTAAAGTTTTTAAATTCGGAAATTGTAATATTCGTTCTATTTTACCATCAATTTTAGATTTTTCAACATTTATTGTCCAAGAATCATTTGATGTAATGGCTGTCACTGAAACATGGCTATCGCCTGAAATAACATCTGACATTTTACATATATCGTCTTATAAATTTTTACGTGCCGATCGTAATAGACATGGCGGTGGTATTGGCGTATACATTAAAGACCACTTTCAAACTGAAGTCTTGGATTTAAATGTCAATTTTGATAATAAAATTTTAGAAATGCTTTGGGTTAAAATTAGTCTTGGAAATATGGCAATTGTTTTAGGCGTCGTTTATTGTATTCTTAACACCAGTGTTGAAAGAGCAATCGACTGTCTTGTTAATATACTATCATTAATAGTTCCTGATTACGATAACATTATGATAGTTGGCGATATTAATGTAGATTTACTATAGATTGGCAATAAAATTAGTAGATGTTTACAGTCTTATGCTTTTGAACAGGTAATTCAGGAACCAACGAGAGTAACCTCGCACTCTGCAACTCTCCTTGATCCTATCTTTCTTAATTTTGCAGCCCAATGTCATAAAGCTGGTGTTTACAATACTGATCTTTTTAGTGATCACACCCTTTCTTATTGCGAAATTTCTTCTATGGTGCCAAAATTACCTCCAAAAATGATTACTTTTATGGATTTTAGACATTTTGATTTAGGTCTTTTTGATAACGACCTTCGTAATGTTCGCTGGTCTGACATTTTGTATATACGTAATATAGAAGAAAAAGTTCAATTTCTTAGAGAAAACATTTTAAATTTATTCGATATTCATGCACCGATAAAAACGGTTAAAGTTAGTAAACCTAAAGCTCCCTGGTTAACTGACAATTTAAAACTTATCCTGAAGATACGCAATAAAGCCTTTTCAAAATATAAAAGACTAAAAACAGTTGAGAGTTGGGAACATTATAGAGAATTAAGAAACTATGCAAAAGCTTCGCTACGCAGAGAAAAAGCTGCATATTTGCATTATCTGTCAAAGCAAAAAAATACATCTACCTTTTATAAAGCTTTAAAAAATTTCAAAATACAATATACTAAACTTTCCAACATTCCAACACATTTTTCTGATCCCGATGATATAAATAGTCATTTTATATCAGTGTTTCAAAATGACGAAACTGCATGCTCAAGCAATATTGATTACTATCATCATAACAAACATAATTCTGGAAACACTTTTTCTTTTAGAATGACAGATACATCAACCATTTTAAAAATAATTCAAAAAATCAAAAGCAATGCTAAAGGAGCAGATGGTATTACTTTACAAATGCTTAAACTATGTTTTCCAGTTATAGGTGACTACATCACTCATACTATTAACTGTTGTCTTGAGATAGGATTCTTTCCACCAGAAGTAGTCATAGTACAGTAAGAGCCCTAACAAGAGTTTGTGATGACATTATCGGTTTATTTGATAATATATGTCAACTGTATTAGTTCTTTTAGATTTTAGAAAAGCTTTTGATACGATTAATCACAAACTCCTTATATCTAAATGCAAATATCTAGGATTTGATAATATGGCTCTTAATTTCTTCAAATGCTACCTTACAGACCGAAAGTCGTTATTGGTGGTAAATGTTCCAAATTAAAATCTATTTGCTCTGGCGTCCCACAGGGCTTTGTGCTAGGACCCCTTCTCTTCCTATTATACACGTTTGATATAACTAAATATTTAAAATTTTGCAAAAAACAGTTATTTGCAGACGACACTCAATTATATCTTCATTTTAATCCTTCCGAATATAAAATAGCTAATGTTCGCATAAATCAAGATTTGCATAAAATAAGCAAATATGTCAAAGGGCATGGTTTGAAATTAAATGCTAAAAAATTGAAAATCTTTGTTGTTTTCTCCAAAAATATATAAGAATATGCTTAAATCGGACATGCAGATTAAGGTAAATGGTGATCAAATAAAATTTTCTCCTTGTGAAAAGAACTTGGTTTTGTATTTAGATGAAAATTTAAAATTTCTTGAACATGTTTCTCAAGTGTCAAAAAATTGTTATTTTCGTCTAAGACTCTTATATGCAAGTAAACAATATTTAACATTTAACATGAAAAAAACCCTATGTGAAAGCTTGGTAATCTCTAAAATAACATACTGCATCTCTCAACAGGGCTACTGCAAACCGTTTACAAAAAATACAAAATTCGTGTTATCGGCTTGTTTGTAACAAAAGAAAATATGACCACATATCACCTTACATTATTTCATTAAAATGGTTGAAAATGGATTCTTTGTTCAAATTTCTTTTCTTATTATTTTTAAGCAATTTATTAAAAGCTAATTCACCATTATATTTAAGAGAACGGATTACGTATAGGATTGACGCACATGCCTTAAATTTGCGAAATCGCTATACTATAGCCATGCCACGACATATAACTGCCATGTTTCAACGGTCATTTAGCTATAATGTCGCTAAAGTATACAATTCACTAAATACACACTTAAAATCATATTTGAGTACTAGTTCATTTAAAATAATGTTAAAATCATATTTTCTTGGTAGCCAAGCAAATGAAAATATTTAATTCATATTCTATTTTATTTATTTTATTGTTTTATTTAATTCTTGTTCTTAATTTAAATTTGAATTCATCCGTAGACATTCAGCGTAATGTAGAGTAGGTTAGGTTTAAGTTAGTTTTAGCATTTGTGATATGGTTAAGTTGAATGGCCACTTGGCTAGACTACGTCATTTATACTTTGTAAATGTTGTTTTGCTGGTATAATAAAGACGTTTATTATTATTATTATTATCTGACTTTACAATGTTATATTTTCCTTTTCTTTGTTTTTTTTTTTGGTAGGCGAAAAATAATTCTGTGTCACACAAGCAGAAAACGCTTTAGCAGCGCTTAGCTATCAGCCGTGGGCTGCTAAAGCTCATTTTCTACCCTTGTGATACAATGTACTATAACAATTTCCATCTTGTGTTAAAATATTATAGCAATGTTAAACCTTAATTCTTTAAGTATAGGTATCTACTATTTACTGATATTATGCCTATGTAGTTTTCATTTTTTCAATAATCTCTTTAATTTTATAGGGTGTTGTGGTTTATAACTTTAATGTAGTTCTGTTAAATAACTTTCTTGGTAAAATGAAATTGGTTTGATATATTTTCTGTGCTAATTCTGGACAAATTTTGATTTCTCTACCATATACTACCTGACAGTTTTATTTTTCATGGCTTGCAATATGTTTACAGCTTTTTTGTTCAGATGTTTATT